GTAAGAAAGGGCTGTGTGCTGCATGCTATTTTTAAACATGCTAGAGCAGCACATGTATCCCTGGCCCACGCACTTTCTCCAGCAGAGGAGGGGCCTGGGGGAATGCAGCCAGGAATTTAGATGCTATTTATTGTATTTCCTTTTATCAGTCAAATGATTTTCCTATTTCCCACATAGATAAAGATCTTCCACTTACAGCTCCAGCTTGTTGACCTTGTCAGGACTGCTGTGCAGCTTGAAAATTGGTCCCAGAGAGAGAAGGGCATTGTTTTTAGGGGTTGTTAGGGGATTGTTTGGCGGGTTGGGTTTTTCTTCTCCCAGCAGGGAAGAGATTGGTTTACAAAAAAAAAAATTAAAAATCTGCCAGAAAACAAAAACTGATTGTTTTGTGCCTATTTGCAGAACTGAAAGGCTGTCCAAGAAGTAGAGTTCACCAGCCATCCCCCTTGCATCCCCCTAATATCTCCACCCCACCTTTCACCAACATACACACACACGCGCACTCTCTCTCTATTAATATCTCTTTCTGTCTCTTGCAGCAGTAAGCCTGGCCCTGGCCCCAGACCCACTGCTGTGCTGCTGTCTTGGCAGGCAGCAGGGCAGAGGGGGTGGCAGTTCTGTCTAAGCTTGTAAGCTGAGCCAGTCTCTTGGCTGTGCCAGCTCTGAGGCCCCTTAGAGATGCCAGTATGCCTGAGTGGGAGCAGTTGCAGCTTCCACTCGGCTGGAAGCCTTGGAGCCAGCCAGGCCTCCAGAAGCTGCATTCTTAGGCAAGGGTATGGCCCAAGGGCTGCTAATCAGCAGGAGGCCTCCTCTTGGGCAAGCTGCCCTCATTGTCTCGCCTTGCCTGGGCCTGCTGGCCAGGTTCACAGGCCAGAGACAGTGCCACTTTTCCTCACCTTCTTGGGAATGGGACCAGCAGATGCTGTGGGAGGCTGGGGTTTTATTGTAAATCCTTATCATTTCTGGCTCATTTAGAGCCACAAAACACAAAGAGAGCCAGCTAGAAGGAGGGAATCCACCCCCTTGCAGGCTCATCATTTGAACAGCAAGGAGCTGCAGGCCCCTTCCACACCAGCGCGGGCTGGCTGTAGATTTAACAGTCGGCTTTCAGGAACCCCACATTCTTTCCCACCATTGCAGTGTTTCCTGGCCAGGACAGCAGAGGGCGCCGGCTCTCCTGCCAGCACTGGGTCCCGGGCCGCCCTCCCGCACATCTGGAAATGGGCTCTATCACTGTCTTGCGAAATAGGGCCAGGGATCTGTCTGTGTCAGATGAATTGGCACCCGAGTGAGCACGCATACACATCAAGAATTCCACTTTCTCATTAGTTCTATTTCTCCCTCAAGAGCACTTGTGGAATGTGGGGAATTTGCCTTGCCAAGGCGGCCAGCACATCTGAGTCCTGGGCTTGGTCAGGCCTCGGTGGAGAGCTTGGCGGGACCACCTCTGTTCTGAAGCCTTTGCCCTTCCCTCCGACATGGAGGGAGGGGGAAAAAGAAAACAGGAGAACAGGACCTCCCAGATCTTTTCTCCTGGGGAAGAAAACTAAAAATGTTTGGTCCTGACCTTCTGGGCCCTCCTGAAGAAAGCAAATGTCCCACATTAACAGGTCCTTGAGAAAGAAGACATAATTCCAAGAAAGCATTTTCTTAAATTACAAGTGATTAGAAATACCAAAGGCATGTGCAAACAATGAAGATGGGAAAGGAGAAACTGGATGGAGGAGGGCAGAGCTGAAGCCAACCCAGGGGCCTGGTTGCTGTTCTGAGGCTGCTCCCTAGACTTCTGAAAGCTGCATGCATTTAAATGTCCACATTTTCTCGCAGAAGCCAGCAATCTGTACTTCTCTTGGCCAAACAACACATCAGTCTAATATGGTGTGGGAGAAATATGTTACATTCTTTTACGAACAGAATGTTAACATCACCTAGAATCAATATTTATATCCAAGAACACAATGAACTGGCTTGTTTTGTGCAGAATGGGTTTAAGACAGGGACATTTGGAAGGAGTAGGGAGGCTGCCCCTCCTCCCACCCAGAAAGGCAGACCCCAGTAAGCAGGGTGAGGCTCCGGCATCCCAACGGGTTTCTGCCTGGGAGACCATGCTCGGCTCCCTTCCTCCTTCACAGTCCTTTGTCTCCTGGGATTGCAAGAGGAAGCCAGAAGCAGCCAGTGGGGCAGGAATTTGTGGTGAGGTTCAGGACATGAGGCAGCATCCTGTCTGCAGGAGAGACAGCTACCATTCGTGAGGGCTGCAGTGGGGGAAGGAGGGTCAGGACATGCATCCCAGCATTTCCTACCGCAGATCAAAGTAGGGGCGGACACAACTTTACACAAGTCCTTGGATGAGGGGCTTTTAGGGGATGAAAAACAAGGAATAAGGGGGGGATGACCCTTTTCTTTAATGCTGCTATTTTTTGGCCAGGTAATTATCCTCATCTGAGGCAGCCATTACAACAGAGATGGAAGCTGAGGTCTCCTGGCCTTGGAGTGCTGCATATTCTTCCAGAGGCTTTTGGGACACTCTATCCAACTCATTAGGCTGGTTTCTTCCTTAATTCTGTTTTCCACTTTTTTTTGGAAACTGCCTTTTTTTTTGGTTGTTGTTCTTTTTTTTCTTTTCTTTTGAGATGGAGTCTTGCTGTGATGCCCAGGTTGGAGTGCAATGGCGCAATCTTGGCTCACTACAACCTATGCTTCGCGGGTTCAAGCGATTCTCTTGCCTCAGCCTCCCAAGTAGCTGGGACTACAGGCATATGCCACCACACCCAGCGAATTTTTGTATTTTTAGTAGAGACAGGGTTTCACCATATTGGCCAGGCTGGTCTCAAACTCCTGACCTCAAGTGATCCACCCGCCTCAGTCTCCCAAAGTTCTGGGATTACAGGCGTGAGCCACCATGCCCGCTGGCTTTACTGCCTTTGGAAGCTACTGGGCCTGCAGCCCAGAGTCAGCTGCTTGCTCCTTGCATGTACAATCCTTACCTAATTAGAAAAATAAAAACAAACAAAAGCCTTTCCCCCTTTCCCAGAAGATTTAAGGTTTGCCTGCAACAGAGCATCTACAAATGTGAGACTTCTTTTCACCTAAGCAGACTGGATTGTGGCCTCATTTTGCAGAGCAAGCAGGCCCACTTCATTTTCAGATTCGATGCTGAAGGTTACCACTTTCAACCGTAGCACTTGTCTCTCGTTAAATGCCTGGAGCTCATTATGATGTATCTTGCAGAACAGTCTTTGCTGCTTTAATAGGCATGATCTTTAGAAAAGATCTTTTGGCTTATGTATAAGATCGAGGCATGATTAATCTTGGCCCCATTTAGTTGTGGGTCACCAGTGTTCAGGCTACAGTGAGATCTCTTTTTGCATGACCACAATTTATAATTTTCCATAATCTGTATCTTTCCTTTATGTTGTTAGTATGTTTTGTTGCTGTAATTCATTTGGTCTGTCCTATTGTTTTCATCTAGTTCTAAGAAACCACCAGTAAATATCCTGATCACATTTGCTATAAAACCAGCCAAGATAAACATATTATTTCATTATAAGCCACTATGTTTAGCATCCTCTTTATGGCTGCAAAGCTCCCCCTGCAGAAATCTCACGTGGGAGACTCATGTAAGTTTAAATATTCTGAACATCTTTAGAGGTACTACCTGATTTAAGCCATGGAAAAGTCTCACTTAGGTCCAGATGTTGTTCTGATGTCAAGGGCAGGATGAAAGAATAGTGAAAGTTAGCAGTAGGGGCTGGGTATAGTGACTGATGCCTGTAATCCCAGCACTTTGGGAAGTTGAGGTAAGTGGACTGCTTGAGCCCATGAGTTTGAGACCAGCCTGGGCAACACAGTGAGACCCCCATCTCTATAAAACTTGGAAAAATTAGCCAGGCGTGGTGGTGCACATCTGTAGTCCTAACTACTCGGGAGACTGAGGTGGGAAGATCCCTTGAGCCCAGGAGTTTGAGACCAGCCTGGGCAACATACTGAGACTCCCATGTCTATAAAACATGGAAAAATTAGCCAGGCATGGTGGTACACATCTGTAGTCCTAATTACTCAGGAGACTGAGGTGGGAAGATCCCTTGAGCCCAGGAGTTCAAGGCTGTAGTGAGCTATGATCGCACCACTGTACACAAGCCTGGGCAACAAAGAAGACCCTGCTTCAAGAACAACAAAAAAAGTTAGCAGTAGGGCAAAGAATAAAACAGTGAAATCTTTAGCCAGGAGTGGCAGCAGTTGGTAGGGTTTGACTATCTGCCTTCAGAGTAGTGCCAGGATCTGGGAGAAAAGTTCTAATAAAAAAAGTCTCCTCGGAAGTCTTTGGTAAAAGTCATTCCAAGTCCAGGCCCGCCTTTCAAGCTCTAGAGTTGTCAGTATAAATGCTTACTTAACACCTACATCTGCTGACTTAACACTTGCATCTCAAATAAACTTTCCCACAAGGCTGTCTGATTTCCAGCCATTCCCCTGCCCCAGTCTGCTCCTCTTCTAGTCGTTCCGTTTCAGTAACTGGTGCCTGGACCATCCGTATGAAGCACGAGATCACTGCAGGATGATCTCTCCCTCCTGCCTCCCTCTCACCCGTCACTCATCTTGTTCCTTCCACTACCTAAATGGCTGTATTCCATCCTCTTCCCCGCGTCATTCTTCACTGCTACACCCTTAGTCCATGATATCACCACCTCCAGAGGGATTATAGCCACAGTCACAATTTAGCTCCCATTTCAATGCTTCACAGAGAAGTCAGAATAATTTTTTTAAAACCACAAACTAGATGATATCACTTCCTTTCTGAAACCTTCAGTGGTTTCCCCCTGCACTGAGGAGACTATCCTAGATCCTTGGGCTGGTGATAAGACCGCATATGGCCTCTCTCCTATCTCTTGCTGTTTTTCCCCTACATTTCCCTGCTCCAGGTCCCTGGTTTTCTTTCAGCTCCTCTAAATCCCCAAGGAAAAATGGATTTTGTGCTCTGTTCCTGACTCTAAGTCCTACTG